AGTGTCTCAGCAATGGACGCTCTGCAGTGAATGGGTGCCGTCAGTATGAGAGTCCAAACAGCCAAAAGCTGCGTGTTGGTAAAAAAACAAATCCATTGTTAAGGTATTTTAACTTTAAACTGCTGCTTCTGGCTACAATACAGTCATTCTTGAGAAGTGGGACAAAACAGGGTGCAAAATTGAAAAAATAAAACCTTGTAATCAGACAAATGAAACTACATTTATGTATCTTATATGTACTAAGCTACTGAGCTATGCTTTGATACAACCTCCCAACTTTTCTCTTTTTTAACAAAATGTGCTTTTTTACCTTGGACTGTGTAATATAATTTCAGCTTTATCTTTAACAGCATTCAAGATGTTTTTAACATTTCAAAACACATTCTCGTGTTAGCAGACAGATTACACTTTCACATGTGACCGACAGTTCCACAACAAATATAAAATATCATAATGAAACATTATCAAAATATTCAACTGATGGAGGTGACAACTGACGGAGGTGACAGAACTAACGGAGTTGACACATCTGACGGAGGTGACACAACTGACGGAGTTGACACAACTGACGGAGGTGACACATCTGATGGAGGTGACAGAACTGACGGAGGTGACAGAACTGACGGAGGTGACACATCTGATGGAGGTGACTCAAAATATTCAACTGACGGAGGTGACACAACTGATGGAGGTGACATCTGACGGAGGTGACAGAACTGACGGAGTTGACACAAATGACGGAGTTGACACATCTGACGGAGTTGACACAACTGACGGAGGTGACACATCTGATGGAGGTGACACATCTGACGGAGGTGACACAACTGACGGAGGTGACAGAACTGATGGAGGTGACATCTGACGGAGGTGACAGAACTGACGGAGTTGACACAAATGACGGAGTTGACACATCTGACGGAGGTGACAGAACTGATGGAGCTGACACAACTGACGGAGGCGACACATCTGACGGAGGTGACAGAACTGACGGAGGTGACACA